GTAATGATGCTGATCATCTTACCATCGAGGCTGGCAGTCCTTTAAACATGGGGTTCTCAGTTATCTTTTGTTAAAAACAACAGAGAGATTACTTAGAACCCCATGTTTAAAGGACTGCCAGCTCTGCCATATGAGGGTTATGAGATAACTTAGAACCCTAAGTTACGGGTGAGTTAAACATGCGGGTGTGTGACGAAGCCACCACTTGTCACAGGGCAGGGTTAAGAATCACAGTGACCGAACTGCTGCTGCAAATAATAGGGTTCATTTTGCTTCACAGACATTTCTTTCTTTTTTTTTCTATTTAAAATTGATTTTTGCTATCAAAGAGAATGTCCAGAAACATTGAGTACTAAAAAATTTGTTCAAGACATTGTTTTACTGAAATTCCTAATGGAGAGTGAATATTTTATTTTTCTTAACAGCCATTTCTGATAAAGGGGTAAGCAGGGCTCTCTCTGATTTGGGCTTCCTACTTAAAGACTAAAATATGAACTAGAGATAAAAGACATAAGTGTTGAAAATTGTCATCTGTGTCTTAATTTCAAGTGTCAGTTCCTGTAGAGGAAGAGTTTTTCAGTTCTTAATTGCTTACTATATCAAATCTTCCCGGTGTCCTGATAATACCTGTGTGTGTGTTTTTGCTTCAGGGCACATACATTCACCAGAGAGAGACAGAGAGTCAGAGACAGTGAGAAATCCACCCCCCCCCATGTTGGGGGAGGGACGGCCACACTTGTCTCTTCTCCATTCCCTTGGGATCTTGGGAATGCACACACCTGTGCCCAGCATCATTTTCAAGCCACCAGGTCTAGTACTCGAACTGCCTGGCCATGTGGGAATCCAGCAATGTAATTGCTATGCCATCTGCTGGCCCCATTAGCCATAATTTTTATTACATTCTAAAATAGATTTATCTTCTGAGGCTTCCTCTTTCTCTTACTTCCTCTCTCACTTCTGATTGACAGCCTGTGCAGATAACCCCCCCGGCATCTTCCTCGGTTAAGTTTGTGAGCACAGCTGTCGCCCAGACACCTCTGCTTATCTGACTTGCTGGTCCCTCAGTGTGTCTGAACTTAGCTGATTTCAGTCCAGCCAGCCTGGGCTGAACTGTTTGCTGGACTTCCTAAGTTTTAGAATGACACCTTTGAGAATAACCCAAGGATATGTATACTTCATTCTCCTCTATTTTAGGAAGGTTTGAGGAGAAAAGTTAGAGAATACTGACCGATTGGGCAAATCCTTAATTCCTTAGAATTTAGTTCATTTAATGGAAATGTACTTCATAATACTTCGTAATAATGTAAAGATTAAATACATATGAAAGCTAGTAGACATGCCAAGGGGCCAGCAGGTGGCATAGTGATTAAGGTGTTAGACTCCCACATGGCCAACTGTGGTTCAAGTCCTGGACCCAGGGGTTTGAAAATTATGCTGAGTGCATGTGCATGTATGCCCCAAATCCCGAGAGGAGAATGAAGGGATTGTGGTGTGGCCATTCCCCTGGGGGGTGAATTCTCTTTTCTACTCTCTGTCTCTCTATGACAAGCACACATATCCTATGGCAAAAACTTAAAAAAAAAAAAAGCCATAAGAATTTCAGCTGTCTATTGTAACTGTTACTGTAGCTACTGACATCACTGTTCTGTATTTGGAAAAATGCAGGGCACATGTAATGTGTCCTATAGAAATGTTTTCATCTTAATTCAGCTCAGAAGTAATTGTCTCTTTCAGATCAGATGGCAAAAATCAAGCCAATGTTTCTAGACAGCCAGTGAGTGCTCCTCGGCATGTCCCTCCAGTGAGTCCGCCTAGAGAAGTTGTAAGTTGAAATGAAGATTTCTTTTTCTTTACTGTATTGAAGTCTTTCATGTTTAAAGATTAATATGGATAGATAGGCAGTTGGATAAATAGATACTGTTTTAAGCATAAGTTTGTTAAAGGAATATCAGCAGGTCCTTGGTAGCATGCCGTAGGGAAGCCAGGTGCTGAAAACAGGAATAGAGCAGACATAGAACACAGTGGTGTTAACCCAGGTCCTGTGTCATTCCTCCATCTTGGTTTCAAAGCAAGAGATTCTTGATGTCTTTTCCTGTTGGTATTATTATGTTACGTAAATACCACATAGTTTTAAAATCCATTTTCCTATTATCAGAGTCCAGTCTTTTGTTACTATGTACAAGGCTGAAGTGAGTATTTTGTAGATGTCTTTGCGTGTGTGTGTGTGTGTGTGTGTGTGTGTGTGTTTTGTGTGTGTGTGTGTTCTAGGACTTGCTAGTATAGTAGTTACTAGCCATATGTAACTATTTAAATTTCATATAAAATTAAGAGTTTAGTTCCTCTGTCCTACTAACCACACTGAACATGTGGCTGCTGGCCACCGTACCCGACAGCGCAGACAGACATAGAACATTGCCATCACTGCGGAAAATTGTTTCGGACACACCGATCTATGGCATATAGGAATAAATTGCTGGCCTGAAAGACATGTGAATCTTCACTGGAAAATGTCAAAATGCTTATTCACCATTAGGTGATTATATCATGGGATGATTGTGTCATCGGTAGTGTCTAAGCATTTCTGTTGAGTCACATCTTTGCCAACACTTGGTATTGTCAGACTTTCAAATTCTTTACAATTAATGGAGGTGAAATTATTATATCTCCTTCATGTTCATATACCTGTACACACACACACACACACACACACACACACACACACACAATTTTTCTCCTTATCCTGCCCCATTTTCCTTTATAAAAAGGGAACAAAAATTCTTAAATCCTTTCCCCCTTATCATGTATCTTTGAGACTTCCATATCCCTTTGTACATGAGACAGTTGCACAGCTCCCGTGCATGCTAGTTAGAAATTATATGTATATTCTTCATCCTTGGTAATTTTTTTCCTTATTTTATTGTGGCAAAATATATTTAAAATAAAATTTTGCCTTTGTAACTATTTTTTCAAGATTTTTTTTTATTGTGATAAAAAAAATCATTAAAATTAGGCCAGCTGGTTGCGTGGTAGTTGGGGTGGCTGGATCCCAGGTGGCCTTCTGTGCAGTTTGAGGCCCAGACCCAGCAGCGTGAGAGACACCCTGTATGTGCACATGTGTGTGTGTGTGTGTGTGTGTCCAAAATCCTGAGAAGAGAATAGAGGAGAAGGGATTATGGTGTGACCATTCTCCCTGAGGGATGTTTTCTCACTTGCCACTCTCTGTCTGTCTCAAGTGAGTTCACATGCCTATAGCAAATTAAAAAAAATGGTAACATTAAGTTTACCACTGTCATTTTTACATGTACAGTGCAATAGCGTTAAGTGTGTTCAGGTCATTGTGCTACAGATGTCCAGGTCTCTGCAACACTGAAATTCTGTACGTACTCTTGCCCTCTTGGCCCTTGGCAATCACCTTTCTATTCTCTATGATTTTCAGTGTCTTAGATAGTCCTTATTCGTGAAATCATGCAGTGTATCTGCTTTGTGACCGGCTTACTTCACTTAGCATAATGTACTCAAAGTTCAACCTTGCGGTACACGTTAGTAAGATGTGACAAAAGTCCCATCTTTGTCATGCCCACGTAACATTCTGTCATAGGCATATCCCAACATCCTTTATCTGGTCTCCTTTCAGTGGACTTTCAGGTTGTTTGCATCTCTTGGCTATTGTGAATCTGCTGTGGTGAATATGGGGTTGCAAGGATGTCTTCAAGATCCTGCTTTCCGTTCTTTAGAAAATATACCTAGCAGTGGATTGCGGGATTATAGAGCGCTTCTATTTTTAATTCTATGAAGACAGTCCATATTGTTTTCCAAAATGAGTGCACCATTTTCTATTCCTACCAACAGTGCACTGGGTTTCAATTTCTCCATGTCTTCATCAACTCTTGTTATTTTCTGTTCTTTTGATAGTGGCCCTTCTGATGTTTGTGAGGTGATAGCTCATTGTCTTTCTTTAAAATACTGATTGATTGGGTGGGAGGAGGGTTCTTGTGTGGTCTCACCATACTGCAATCTTCTTGGCCTGGCCTTGTGGTTAGCTTGGACCGTAGTTGCATGCCACAGCGTCTGGCCTGTGTTTGGGTTAGGCCAGGAACCTCGTCATTGTAGTTTCTGATTAGCATTTTCAAGTTATTGGTAATGTTGGCCAATGTTTCACATCCCAGTTGGCCATATGTATGTTTTCCTTGGAGAAATGTCTGCTCAGGTTTTCTTGCCCATTTTTTCGCTGGGTTATTTGTTTGCTACTTAGTTGTTGGGTTGGCCATGTATTTTGCATAGTAATGCATCATCCATGGTCTCACCTTGTCATACTTCATCTCTGCTACTTCATCAAGGAAGAATATCATGAATTCTGCAATCAAGGATTCTAAATTAGTGGTTTTCTCTAACAGTTAGGTACTGTATAGATTTGGCAGTAACTTTTTGTAAGGTTTTATTTAAAATACATTGACATGGATTGACATAGAAATGTATTACGGCTTTACCAAGGCAGTTGATTCAAACCAAGATTATAGCACTTTAATATTATTAGATTAAAAAAAATCTTAAATGAGTTAAGTATTTGTGGTAAAGACAGGTTGAATAAGAGAAATATTTTTAAATATCAGAATTAAAAGTACTCCATCGATTTTTAAGTATATGAATTATTTTTATATAGAAAGTAACAAAACTATGTAGAAATCTATTTGTGACTGCATCATGGTTGTAACTTTCATATTATCTTTCCTTTTTAGCCTGTCTATGCAAACAGATTTCCGGTACCAGCTCATGCATCCCGGCAGCCTCCGCAGTTCCCATCCAGGTCGGAAGTGAATCGGCTTTGATTACGTGGCTAGAATAAAACCCAAGGGTTAATGTCTGAACATTTCCCTTGTATTTTAATTTAATTTAGCACTGCTAAGGTATTTATTGCTGAAAATCTAGATAGACCATGACTTGCAGAAAGGCTTTTTTAGAATTTTTATGTAAATTTTTTTATATGAGTGCAGTGTCAAAATGCAATTTTAAAGAAGCCTGAGCAAGAGCTACCATCTGCTGCTGCAGGCAGCCTTTGGTGTGTGTCAGTTTCAAACATAAGGGACCTTGTAATAACCAGCCATAGGAACGCAGGTGGGTTGGCCCAGCCTTTCCACCGAGAATAGCTAGAAAAGCTAGATGTTAGAAGAATATAGACATACGTGCTTGAAGGTATAGGAGACCAAGGAAGTGAGCATTATATGGAGAAGATCCGGGAAAGGAAGGGAGTCTAGAGGTGATCCCAGCTTTGGGGATCACTGCTCTGTCCTGGAGGTGTCCAGCTCTCTGAGAGTTACAGCCGAGAGGCAAGGAAGCCGAGGAGCGCTTTCAGAAGACTCACAAGGCAGAGGGGAGGTTCCCTGGCAAACATCCCAAACTTTGTGTTGGGACCTCAGTGTGAGTGTGAACTGGACTCTCAACTGATTTCTACAGTTTTTAATATTTAGCCCTCAGTCAAAAAGCCAAGCATGTAAGGACAGAAAATGTGATAAAAACCATAAAACCATCAGGTCATAGTAGCTGATTAAGAAGGTATCCAGTTAAATCAGACATGGGCTTTTGCAGTAAATGTAATGATATTGCCATGGAATTAATAGTTAAGATGGGAGATAGCAGATGATGTAGTGGTTATGTTGCTGGACTCCCACATGACCAACTGAGGATCGAGTCCTGGACCTGGTGTCTTGAAAATCCTGTTGTGCACATGTACACGTGTGCCCAAGATACTGGGAGGAGAATGGAGAAGGGATTGTGGCATGGCCATCCGCCCTAGGGAGTGATTTCTTACTTTCCCTCTCACTGTCTCTCTCTCTCTGCTGAATACACATGCTCTAAAGCAAAAAATCTCTTTAAAAAAAGTTTACGTTTGATCATTTCAGCACAGAGTTAAAAACTAAAAAAAGAATCCATGCAACTTCTAGAGCTAAAAAGGACAAGACCTGACTCAATGGATGAGCTTGAAATAGAGGGGAAAGATTTAGAAAGTGTGTTACTACATTTTGCATCACATAAAATGCATCCAGCCCCTCCTTCTCCCATAAGCCTCACAAATTACAATTGGATTGCAACATCGAGTGTCCTAATGTAATCTCTCTGCCTCTTTGTTGTCAAGTTTATTGGGCTGGTGTCCTGGTGCTAAGGGAGCCAGATCCTGGGCTGGCCAGCTGGCATGGTGGTTAAGGCGGCTGGATCCCCGATAGTTGATCATATCACTTGAATCCTGGCCGTGGTGCCTTGAAAAGCATGCTGGGTGCTTGTGCGTGTCTGCCCCAAATCTCAACAGGATGGAGTAATGGAGAAGTGATGACGGCGTGTCTGTGCCCTGTTGGAGGAAGCTTTCTCTGTTGCTCTGTTTCTCTCTCGTGGGTGCAAGTACCCTTGAGGAGAAAAAAAAGTTTATTGAGAGAGAGGAGAGAGACAGCCATCATCAACCTATTCTTCACACTGTTTTCCACCCCTAGCCTCTCAGTCAGCATTACAGGCATGTGCACACAGAAGCCCAGTGTGTATAGGGAGACCTCTGGACGTGAACTTAGGACCTCGCCATGTGGCTTCAACATCACAGAGCCTTGCATTGCCAGGGCACTGCCATGTTGGCCCATATAGAACGATCACTGTGCAATAAGAGTGTGTTGAAATCCAACTGAGGATCAAGAAAGGAATATATAAATTGTGAGACAAATATTCATCAGGTAGTGTTGTAATGGCATTCTAGAACTGGATGAAGAGGATAAGGGAGGGTGCCCACAGGTTGAAAATGAAGATTAAGATGGGCAGGTATAGAAGTAATGGTGGGTTTGATTCTCAGAGTGGATATCATATTTGAGGAAGCTGGAATTTCAACTCTGCATATATTAACACTGAGTTAGCTAGGTTACACTCACCAGTCATTTTTATAACACCGAAAATTGCTTTATCCAGTTAGTATCTTCACTTGTCCTTTATAATTTGTCTTTACAATTTCATATGCTATTTTTTTTAAAGAGAGCTTTTTGTTATAGGGTATGTGCTCTTGCCAGAGAGACAGAGAGAAAGTGAGAAATCTCCCTCCATGGGGATGGCCATGCCACAATCCCTTCTCCTCCATTGTCCCTTTGGGATTTGGGACATGTATGTACATGCACCTGGTATGAGTTTCAAGCTGCTGGGTCCAGGACTCAAACCTCAGCTGGCCATGTAGGAATTCAGTGTCTTAACTACCATGTTACCTGCTGGCCCTTCATATGCTATTCTTTTTTAAAAACATATGAACTCAAACTTTCATACAACACTGTTGACTACTGATATTAATTTAAGGTAGTTTTTCTATTATAGATTCTAATTAGAGGCCCTTAACCATTGAATATCACCTTAGTAATATAAAGGACCCTCGCCTCTTGACAAAAGGGTTGAAGCTGTTATGTTGAGCTGGTGGTGAGTACAGCATTGCTTCATTTAGTCCAGACACACAATTAACTGTCTTTTTCCCCCTCACAGGCCACCTCCACCACAGCCGAAAATATCATCTCAGGGAAATTTAATTCCTGCTCGCCCTGCCCCAGCACCGCCTTTATATAGCTCCCTCACTTGATTTTTTTATCTTCCTTTTTGCAAATGTCTTCAGGGAACTGAGAATACATTTTTTTTTCCTGATATTTTCTTGAAAAGCCTTTCTTCCGGTCAGAACTCTGAATGAAAACAAAGTACAAGACAAACTTTACTAACACAGAAAAGCAAAAACCGAGTGTGTGGGTTGAGAAATACAAGGAGATGAAGTAAATCCAGGGAATTTGGGGTAACATTTCCGTTTCCGTCTTTGACTGTCTTACTCGGCCCTCTGTGAGGGTGATGCCCTCGACGTGGCCTGTCTTATGTTGACCGTGTTACTGCAGCGATGAACTGTATGGATGTCCGCCTGTCATCATGCACTTAACTGTGAATTTCCCACTTTAGTTATCGTTAACGTAGTTTCTGGTTGAACATGTGACAACCTAATACCTATGAAAGTCGATTAGCTGCCAATAATATCTTAACATTTTTTCGTGTTGCACGGATTAATCATCACCATATACTAGAGTCTCGTCTCATTCACTACGTGAACTATCCCGTCTTCAGAAGAGTGCACAAAAATCACGATTAAGATGTAATATTATTTTGAAAGTACAAAATACTCTAAAAGAGTGTGTGTGTGTTCACACACAGTTATCAGTTTCCATTTTTATGATCTTTCAACTATAGATAATTACTATTAGAAGAATTAATTTAATAGAATTTCTATTATGAAATCTCTTGTTAAAGCATGGCATCCTTTTTGCAGTAGCATTATTTTAAATTATTGTATGCTTTCAGGTACGAGGTATTTAATAGCTCTAATCAAATATGTTGATTCATGGCTATAGTAAAGCACTGAGCATCTATTGTTAATCAACTGAGCTGTTGTAAAACCACTTGAGAATTTCATGAGCACTTTAAGTTTGAAGTCTGATTTTTCAAAGCTTGCTATAAATCATTTAGAATGTTTACATTCACTAAAGTGTGCTGGATCATGTCTCTGTTGACACTAATATTTTCATAGAAATTAGGGTGAAGAAAAGAAGAAAGAAAAGGTTTTCTTAGATAAATACAAAAAGTGTCCTGTCTGAGTTATCTCAGCTGTGTTAAAAAATGAATTTTTACTTTGGGAGAAATGGTATGGACAATATAATTTTAAGCACTTAAAAATTTTTCATAACCTTTCATAATAAAGTTTAATAATAGGTTTATTAACTGAATTTCATTAGTTTCTAAAATTTTTTTGTTTGTGTATATATACATATACAAATATAACATTTACAATAAATACTTGAAAACGTCTTTGTGTCTCCCAGTCACTTCCTAAATACTTACCTGTTTGTAATCTTATTAATTAAAGAGTTAAAACTTTTGGTAAAATTCTAGTCGAACTTTTACAGATCCCATCTCACTAATTGTTTTATTTTACCAAATAGCAAAAAATGGCTTTCTGTTTTTAAAAAAAAGACAACCAGTTTTGAAGAAGACAGAAATTTCAATTCTCTGAAGGTAGCACACTATTTTGACAACCAGATACATACTAAAAATTGTGAGATGTTCCTCCCTTCATCTTAAATCTTGGAATGGATTTCTGAAGATGCCAGTGGGCATGTATGCTTACCAGAGAGGGAGAGCCCTCTCAGTGGTATGTGGTCGTGCAGCAATCCTTTTCCCTCCGTTTCTCCATCCTGTCAGGATTTTAGGCATGCAGGTGTACCTGCCTGGCATGTTTTTCAAGTCTCCTGAGCTAGGATTTGAACCATGGCCTGCATGTGGGATCTGGTTCCCAGTGCACAGTGCTCAACCTCTGTGCTATAGGGCTGACCCTGAGTGGGTTGAAGTAAGACTAAAATCTGCATTTCACTTATAAAACCTCAAGTTTTGCAGTTGTAATGTGTATCAGTTTAATTTCACAGTTGGTAATGTATAGCTATATAACTTAACCCTTTTTTTTTTTTCGAAATGAGAATTCCTTCAACGTTTGACTAGTTGGAAAGTTTTTCTAAAAGACTATTTGAACTGGGACCAGCAATTGGCGTAATGGCTATGTCGCTGGACTCCCACGTGGTCGACCGCGGTTCGAGTCCCGGACCCGGTGGCTTAAACTCACGCCAGGCGCGTGTGCGTGCGTGCCCAAGATCCCGAGAGGAGAATGGAGGAGAGGGGATTGTGGCGTGGCCACTCTCCCTGGGGGGTGATTTCCTGCTTTCTGTCTCTCTGTCTCTCTCTGTCTGGCGAGTGCACGCGCCCTATAGCAAAAACCTCTCCAAAAAAAAAAAAAAGAAAAAAGACTATTTGAACTAAATTTCTTTTGTGTATTTTTAATATACTCTGTGTGCTTTTCCCTCAGATTTGTCCTTGATTTATATCTGCATTGTTATTAAACATGTAAAATTTCTTGGTCACAAATGCCGCTTTTTTTTTTTTGAGAAGGGAATTTGTTTTTGTAACCTGTATACAGAGACCGTCGTCGAGCACCATCAAACTGACTCGAAAAGGTCAACATGTTCACGGTATTTATCAGTACAAGATACAAGCACGTGTGAACTACTCAGTACAGTCAGTCATTCACTTTCCCTGGTAACTATCCTGATTCCTTCGAATGCTCATTCTTGGTTTCTCATCTGACTGTTCCTCAAACTGATCTCCCTTTGACTCAGCACTTGGTCAGATGTTCTTGATAGAGGCCGTTCTTAATTTCAAAATGGCTACCTTTCTGTTAAACCTAAAACTGGCCTGCTTTACTCTCACCAAAAGTCGAAATACAAAAACATCGAAGACAAACTGAAAAATTAAGGTCAAACTGAAATTGCTGAAACGTTATTAAAAAGTTAAATTCTAAGGCAAGATAAAATGCACAAAAATTGGAAGCTACTTAATAATCCCAACAGTAGGAAAACCCTGAAATCTTGGTACAAGAGAAGAAATAGTTGGGATGCATAAACTTCGTAGTATTGGTTTGCAGGAAGATGCAACATGTTGAAGTAAAACCATGTGACATAGCAGGAAGAAAGGCTATCTGTAATGAATTACTGAAATGGACGTCACGTGTGGGGTATGGGCATGAATCGTTAACAGGAAATAGCAGGGGAACGGTTAAAATTATTCTTAGGGATCAGCAGATGGCATAGTGGTTGCATTGTTGGATCCTCACGTAGTCAACCTCAGATCAAGTTCCAGACCCGGGCAGTGCATATCCAAGATCACGAGAAGAGAATGGAAGAGAAGGGATTGCGGCGTAGCATCCCACCAGGTGGTGATTTTTTGCTTTTTATCTCTCTGTCTCTCTGGTGAGCACACATACCCTATAGCAAAAATCTCCCTTAAAAGAAAAAATATATATATTTTAAGATCATAGTGATGCAGGAAGCACTATAGCAGCATTGTTTTCCAGGTCTAAGCTTAATTATAATAACAAAAACATTATTGAAAGAACGCTTTAAAATGTTGACAAAAGTTGAAAAGATCTTTTAAAAAGGACTAAAAATAATTGGCATTGTTACTGAAATCTGGGCCCAAAGTTTGGATGCTCACTGATTGGAAACCAATGCTCGTGACAAAGGTTGGTGGAAAGGAAAATTCGCTTTATTCGGGAAGTGAGTGATCTGGGAAGATGGAGGGCTAATTGTCTCAAGACCATCTCCAAAGTCCTGGTCTAGGAAGGATTTTTTTAAAAGGGAAGTCAGGCTGGAGTTTTTCCCGACACAGAAGTTCATCAATTCTTTGGTTGGTCCCATGGAGAAGACGTGATGTCAGGGTTGATGTTTTCACCTCTGGCTTGGTCAGCAAGATCTGATTGTTAGGGCAGAAGATTTGATCTTTCTCATCTTCCTCAAGTATCTCTGCTTTCTGATTTCAGAGCCCTCTGCTCTCTAGTCTCTGGAAAATCTCAGCAAAACAGCGAGGAACACCACTTTAAGGTTTGCAAATATTAAAGGACCTCCTTAACATCTACTAAATGAATAATCAGGAAGGAGTCGTATATAAGTCTGAATCACTCTTTGACTATAGTAGCCTTGTATTTGACTATAGTAACCTTGTATTGCATTTTCCCTTTCTATCAAGGCTGGATCTCTAACTGTGGAATTAAGTACAGTCCAGCTTTTCTTGAAAATGTCTTTTTTCCATGAGTCAGAGAGACAGCACTCCCATCAAGGTCTCTGTGCTGCAATCCACACCGGCCTCAGCCAGCCCCAGATCATGGTGGTGCAATTGCATGCCTTATGTGTTCTGGGAGGTTTTGGGGACTTGAACTTCGATCCTTCCCCCGTGGGTCAGCCTCACAGAGCTGCACCACCATCTGGTTTCCACAATGCAGGTTTTCAGAGCACAGATCAGATTTTATTAAATTCCATGAATGTTTACTGAAACCCTACCATTCTGCAGGTACTGGGTATGTAAGTTCTGGATGGGACATGCTTCCTGACCTTCAAAAGTATGTCACCTAGGAAGAAAGTCAAACATGCATGAATACAGTTTCCTCTGTTAAAGATATGCACAAGGGGGACCAGCAGATAGCGTAATGGCTATGTCGCTGGACTCCCGTGTAGTCAACTGTGATTCAAGTCCCGGACCCAGTGGCTTAAACTCATAGCGGGCACGTGTGCGTATGTGCCCAAGATCCTGAGAGGAGAATGGAGGAGAAGGGATTGGCGGTGTGGCCATCCCCCTTGGGGGGGGATTTCTTGCTTTCTGTATCTCTGGCTCTTTCTCTCTCTGGTGAGTGCACATGCCCTATAGCATAAACTCTTCAAAAAATAAAATAAAAAAAGATATGTACAAGGAAGCCTAAAGAGAGGTATAAAAGAACTAGAAGTTCATTCGGAATCCTTGGTGAAGTCTAAGCACTTGCTGTAACTGTTATTCAAATTTTTAGGAAACAGGGGAAAACCAGCCTTGGGACAATGTTGCCTTTAAAAGCAGTGCTGATCACCAGGTGTGATTGCATGTATGCCCAAGATCCTGAGAGAAGGGGGGGGAAGGAATTGCAGTATGCCTATTGCCACCTGCTGGGTGATTTCTTGCTTTCTGTCTGTCTTTCTGGCAAGTTCACACACCCATGGTGTAGCTAAAAAGCAGTGCTGGTCTGGCATTGGCTCCTACCAATACACTAGTGAGGTGTGCTTTTTTTTTTTATATAATAGACATTTATTTAAAGTAATACACCTGCTGACCAAATTATTTTTAAATTAAATTTTTCAGGTTCGACCCCCACTTCATAATACTTTAAGAACAACCGCATCCTCGATTGCAATCTAGTTACTTTGCCCACTCTTCTCTCTTTTTTCTTTCTCGAATAATCTCTTTCAGATATGGTTCAAGGTGGAAATTCTCCTCCTCATGTTTTGTCCACTGCTCTTTAGGCAAGATCGGCTGCCTCGTGGTCAGGTCCGGGGCTCTCTTAGTGCGAAGCATCCTGTCATTGTAAAGGTTCTCGGGGAGTCTTCTTACGGCTTCCTTCACATCTTCATTCTCGTCTATCGTATCCTCTCGCACTAACCCCAGTTTACTGAATCCTGCAGCATTGAAATACCATTTGCGAGTACCATCCAGCCACTGCCCTGTTGCTGACGCGGCCTGCTCGCCATTTCGCGCTTTTGATCACGTTGGTTTTGCTTGTACGGTCCGGTTGAAATCTCACATATCCATAAACTCACACCTCAGCTGTTATTTTGCATGTGTCAATTCCCCAAGTGAGCATTTGTGTGGGTCCATGGGGCCTTTCAGTATATGTGTCTGCCCACCTATTAATTATTATGAGAGATTAATTCATTCTCCGGGATTTGGAAAGAGAATGTGCATCTGGATGGAGACTGGGGGTGGGAGGGAAGAGGCTGCATCCCAAGGGGATCAGGCAATGCGTAGGACCAAGTCAGAGCGGCCAGAGCACGTGCGGTAGGTAGAAGAAAGCCCAGAGGGCGGGCTGGGGTCTGAATCCAGAAGCATTTAAATCCAGTGTTAGAAATTCCTTCTGGAACATAGGTAGCATAGTTATGGGGAGAATCTTCACTCTCCCACTACAATAAAGAACCAGTACTCACTGCACAGAGGAATTTCTGACCAAGAGGGGGACATTTCGAGTTTTAACCAGATTGGAGGGAAAGGAGACAGATGCTTAGGAAGCCCATGTGGGCAATGCCAGTCAGAAAAACGGAAGCTGATTCTCCCCCTAAATGAAAATCAAGCCTCTCTTTCCATTATCAGAATCTTTTTTACTTATCTGGCTAGTTTTACATGTATAAAGAAATGTTTTTAGAAAGTCAGCTTTAGTAATATGAATATATGTACATTCGTGTGTTTATATGTACATTCGTGTGTAGTTTTTAATTCACAAAGTATTACACTTTTTTTAAAGGTTTTTGCATGTGCAGTCATTGGAGACAGAAGGAAAGAGAAATCGGGGATGGCCAGGCCGCAATCCTTTCTTCATTCTTCTCCTGGGATTTTGGGCACACACATCCGCACGCCCAGTGTGCTTTTCAAGACATCAGGTCCTGGACTCCAACTGAGGTGAGCCCTGTGGGAGTCCAGTGCGGTAACTACCAAGGAGCCTGCTGCCTTCACCTCCTCCTCCTTTTTTTTTAAATTTATTTATTTATTTTTTTATTTTGCCAGAGGGAGCCCAGAGAGGGAGAGGGAAAGTGCGAAGGCGCCCCCACCCCCAGTGGGAATGGCCATTGTTGCAATCCCTTCTCTATCTCTCCTTCTTTAGGGATCTTGGGCAGGCATGCACATGTACCCTGTGCTTTTCAGGCCGAGTCCAGGACTCCTTCCCCTGTTGGCCAGTTCTCCTGAACCACCCCGTTACCACCCAGTTTTGTTTCAGTCTATTGTAGGTCTTGTGCGTTGGCCAGCGAGAGACAGAGAAAGGGAA